TTTTCACATTTTCAAGAAACCAAGATCATCTACAATTATATAGATAAATTCAATAAGTCACTTAGTACAAATATGAATATATATAATAAAAATACTAATAATATTTTTATTTTTTCTATAATATATAATATTCTATAACTATATAATAATACTGATTTCTTATTACAGTGATGATCTGTAAGCAATGAATTTGATAGCTAAAGGATAATCCAAGTTATTAAAAGAGCAAAATATCATCTCCTAAGTTGCATCTAGAGAAGTTAAACTTTTAGGACAGATAATTGTTCTATGAAAATCTTTGAAATTGTATAATATTTTAAATATATAATAAAGATAAGCTGTGTCAGCCTGATGGTGGATTAAAATAATAATAATAATAATACTGGTTTTCTAATTGATTATTCATTATATTTTAATCTATCATTGTTTATTATTTTTTTGAGTATTTTATTCTCTATGCTTTTTAATTTGCATATTCTTGGTGTGATTATATTATAAATATAGTATAGTTCTGTTTATTTATTTCTAAATTTGTTATTATATATTTTTGTTTTTACTGATTTATATAATAAAACTTAGTTTCTTATATTGAATTTTTGAACTTTGATTTTCTGATCATAATATTATTTTTTTTGTCTTATTCTTTTTTAATATTTTGTTATATATTAAGTCTTAAATTATTAAAATTACTAGTAATAAATTCAATATATTATAGTTATTGATCAAATATATTAGTAGATTCCTGTTTGTTATTTGAAGATCAATAGGTAACTTTGCTTCATAATTATAAAGTAACTTGAATGGTAAATATTTAGTAGTATAATTTTAAACAAAACAATAGTTAAATAGTGTTGAAGCCAGAAAAGTACTCCATATGTTATTATAACTACTCCCATATTTAACCAAAGTGTTGCAGGAAGTTTTGTTAAATCATTTAGTTAATTTATTGATTTGTGAATAGTAAGTAGCTAAAATTTAATGATAGATAGATAGATAGTTATTAATTTATATAAAATATTTATTAACTTATTAACAAATGATGTTTCTGGATTAGATAAAAAAACTTTAGGATATCTATGATAATATATTATATTTTTATATATGAATTTTGTAATAGTAATAGCTTTAGTATTCTTGAGAATTTTGCTTTAAGCCTCTTGGTAAAATATTCGATAGCTATAACAATATATCAGTTGCCTAAAAAAGTTATTGACAATAGTTTAATGATGTCAATTCCTATGTGATCAAAGGATTGCTTAATAGATATAAGGTAAAGTTCTTCATGTGATATAAGGGCTTCTTGTTATTGGTAAATATCATAACTTTTCATATATTCAGCAATAGTTTTATATTGATTAAATCAATAATATTGATTTCTTGTTCAATTATAGATTACTTCAATTTCAAAATGTTCAGTAAGAATGTTTCCATGAAAGTAGTTGCCTTAATAACTTTAGGTAGTTCCAGTGATTTTTAGTATTGTGATGGAATAGTATGTGATATTGAGTAAGATAATATGTTACTTGTTTTTTGAAAAATATTATTTTCTTTACCATTAAGTCCAGAGGTAATTTTCTAGTAGAGAAATATGTATACAGTTGCTGATAGGTTTCCAAATCCATGATTAAGGTGTTGAGGTTGAAGATAGTCTTGATAATGCATCAATATTTTGATACTTCCTGACTTTCTGGTATTGAATTTTGAAGAGATAATCTATAATTGTAAGTATCCACTATATTGTCCTTTTGTTTGGAGTGGGGTTATTAATTATCCATCGAAGGGCTGAGTGATCAATAATAAGAGTAATGCAACCAAGAACTTTTTTTGTATGAAATAAAAAACCCGATTACCAAACTTGTCTGCGGTCATATATATCATCGCGATCGTATCGAAAATTCCATCAAAACCCATTCAATATGTCCAAGACCTGATTGCAAGGAGGTAAAAGAGGCAAAGTCTCGAGACTATGTCTCATCTACGGTTTACAGCATGCTTGGAAGTCAGAATATCAATGATCTTATGGATATACAGTATCCCCGTCATAACTATTAAGTGATGATTTTCCAATATTTAGAGATACCTCCCAGAAAAAACGTGCCGGTGAATCTACCAGTAAATCATCCAGTAAGAAAACGAAGAAGCAAGTTTCGAAAGAAGATTCTCCTATATTAAAAAAACTTATTGAGGAATTGACATCAACGATACCTGAAAATTCTAAAAAACCAATAGAAGTCAACGAAAGCACCAATAATTTTTTGTACCATTATAGCAAAATTACGCAGGCTGAATCTAAAAGTGAGATAGCAAGTAGGGAAGTTATTGAAAGTTATTTTAACTTTGGTGAAGCTATGAAAAAACGTTTCGATCATTACAAGAATCTCAAACATGGGGAACGAGCTTGCTTGGCTCTTGTTAATGATGAAATCCGGAAACAACTCCCCGATAATATCACCAATGATGCATTGAAAAAAAGAAAGGAGAGAGTGGGAAAAATATATGATTTATTTGTTAGTATTGGTTAAGAGAAAATAAGAGGCATTAGATCATTTTCGGCATCAAATATTTTAAACCTGAGTCAAGATAATATTGATTATGTAATCGTTGAAGTTTTAAAAAAAGATGGTAAAGTTTGATCGATACTGCACCACATTACTGCGCCAGTGACATGGATGTCACGTCTGAATTTACAAAAATCAATAAAAAAATATGTGCCTTGCCACTGTTAATAAAAAAATTATTTGTCTGCGGAGCAGGACATTTTGTGTCTATCTATTATTTCGCGTTTAGCAAGTGTTAATAATTGAGTGTTAATCCGCATGCATGTGATATAGAGCCCCAAGGGAACAACCCCATGTGAACGCGGAAAATGATTTATTGTTATGCATATAACGTACAGAATAAAATCTCAGAATAAACATCCAACGATAGATATTAAAGTTAACGTGTAATATACAGTATATACATGTATATATTATAATTAATTTGTATCCTGGTTAAATATCTGTGTGAATTGAGTATGAATTTTTTCCCATTTTTCCATAAGATCATCAGTACTTAAACCGCTTTTTAGTATACTGCGACGTAATAACTCTTCGCCGACTAGTCTATCCCGATCTGTTAAAAATTTATGGTATTTTCTTGTATCTTCGTTCCTTTTTATTCCACCACGATAAAAGCGTATATCTCTTTCCAAGTCTTCTCGGAAACAACCCATAGCCAACCTATTTCTTTCAGCCTCTGTAATGATCGAAAATTCTTTGGGATCTATTCCATGTTCGATAGCATATTGATAAAGGTGATTTTTGTTTGGATGAGTTGGTGAACGAGGTTCTGTTTCTCGAGGTTTGTTTGACACACTTTCCTGCAAACTCTGTATGGCGATTATAACTTTCTTTTGATCAATATGAAATGGACAATTAAGAAAATAGTGATCATCTTTACCTAGACAGCTCCAATCACCCCATATGCCTTGATGTGTATGAACTTCCTTACATACTGGACATTCAGCTTCTGAATCGGTATATTTAAATACATCTCGATGCCATGCATTTGAATTAGTATATGTCAAGAAAGGGAAGCGTTTATGTACTGTTTTAATAATTAGATCTTTCTCTTCTGGAAATTTAGAAATCTTGATGATACAGTCCAGTTTTTTTCTTATATCTTTTATATAATGTGGAGCGAATTTTATCTGTCAAAATGCTTGGTAAACTAGTTAATTTAACATGCCACTCCAAATATTCAGGAGTTAATGTTTTATCGATCTTGGTTTGTATATTCATGTTGACATTTTATGATTGTACATATTTTTAAATTAACAATAGCCGACAAAAGTAGTTAGAAGACATATTATCATTTATACATCGATTAATATAGATCTGATCTTTATTGCATAGTAATATATAGCTGGCAAGAAAATGCAAATAAAGTTCATACAATTATTTCAGCATCAGCAGAGCTAGCACGGTCAATGCACTGGATCATATCAATTTCGGATGCTTCACACTTGATATAGTAGGATCCAGTTTTGTAATTGCCCTCTACACCTTCCCCATCCTCATGATCCAACTTGCATAGTGGGCATAATGACTCGGACTTAATTCCATAATAATCGACACCTTCATTACTATATTCATAAAATATATCGGGATATTGCTCCAATGTTTTGTCACGAAAATAAGCATGGGTATGGGTTGTTTTTCAGATAAGGTCTTGGCTTCCGGTAAATCCTCCTTGGGTTTAGAGATAGGCGGCACACTAACATTGAAAACTTTCGAATCGGAAGAATTGGAGATTAGTAGATCACTTACCTCTACATTAATCTGATCGTGACATTTTGTCACGGTTTTTCATATATGATATGCTGAATTGAGTATTTTTCAATCCCGAAATTGTACTTGCACTATATGTAATGTATTCGATTTTATCTATGCCTACTCCTCTATCACCAAAATAGTTTAAGAATTTTTCTCGCTCTTTCGGTTTTCTTACGCAAATTTATATCTGTAATATTGTGTAGAAAAGGTTTTCTTACGCAAATTTGCATCTGTAATATTAGGTAGAAAAGGTTTCATTTCCTTATATATTTTCGATCTTGCTGTTTTATCTTTAATCTGGCCATCTACTGTAAGGTTTTTAACCTTATTTTCGAATTCTAGAGAATAATAATACCAATTTAAAATTTGTTTTTGATCCGATTTAATTGCTTTATCAAATAAGTCAGATAAACTTTGCACAGAACCCGGAGCCATATCCTCATCATTATTTGAATATAAAGGATTGATTTCGGAAGAAACAATATTTTCTGCTTGATCATAGGTTATCTCTTGTATTAAACCTTCTACGATTTGATTGTCTGATTCAAGTATTTCGGAGGAAGAGTCAGAATTGTTAAGATCGTGACATTCTGTCACGGATTTTGCATCACTTAATGATGATGTTATTGTCTTTTCAGATTCCGTTGAAGTATCCTGATTAACTAAAGATAAGTCTTGATCCTGAGAAACGGAAACTTCATTACTATGTAATAGCTTTTTTTCCTTATTCCTCTGCCTTATCTCATTACTAACCCTTTTCTTATTTTCCGAATCTAAAAAGACATCAATTTCTTTATCTTCTAATGTTTTATATTTTCCGGAGCAAGTTTCATTAAGGTAAGATGCATCGGAAATTGTGTTCTGAAGTGTCTAAAGTTACTAAGTCAGTGCTAGTCATGGATTGATCCGCTTCGTGGTGAGTTGAAGAATTTTTAATCTGCGCATTTTCACCATTTGAGCAACTCTTATTAGATAATGGAGTGGAGTATTCCGGAGATTTCTGCGAAAGCAGTCCTTGTGGGGCTAAATCATTAGTATCCATTCGAATTTGATTTTCAATATTCTTAACAGCGCGTTTTAATTTTGCAATTTCATTATTGAGCTCGGCATTTTCTGTTTGACTTAACTTTATAGTCTGTTCTAATTCCACAATTCTAACCTCAAGTTCATCTTTTTCTTTCGCGATCTGTTCCAATTCATTAATTCTAGTAGCATTTTCTTGTTTCAATAAATCTAGTTCGGATTTGGTGTTTCCTATTGTTTTATATAAGATACAGATATTTTCAAAAGTTTGTTTATTATTATAGAAAGACCATGGCATTTTGTTATTGGACATTGTGGCAAAAAATTTTATTGATAACAAATTTCAAATTTAATATTCCAAAAAATGAAATTAATTACAATTATAGTGTAGCGTCTTACAAAAAAATTCCCAATTATCTATTCAACTTCGATAATTCCTGCTTTTACATCACAATTCATACTTGACAATCATCAAGTTTACCTTTCTTTTGAGGGCTTGGTGAAGGTGTACCGAACGACCCAAATGACTTGTTTTGAACTGGAATTTTCCTTTTGCGTTCCCTATGTAAACGTGAATCGGAAAGCGAGACATTATTTGTGTGATCACAAATTGTCTTCAACGTAGACTAAAATAAGATGAATATAATGAACATAATAGTGAGATACTGTATGTATCAACTGCAACAACAGTGAAGCATATATTACCTTGACGTCAGACATAGTTGCATAAAAACCCTCAAGTAATGCAAATTTTTTTAGGGTATTGGGCATCTTATTCTGAGAAAGCCTTCTTAAGCGCAATACGTTCGTAGCCTTACAGTCCATATCATAAATTTCATAGCTCCACCCTTAGTATAAGAATAGAAAAATAAATGAGTCAATAATTTGAAATTTGATTATTATGTTTGTCTTGCTTACCCCATGATTGAATTCCGAGAACATATGTGCGATGAAGGTCATCTCCAGGTGCATTGGTATTTGTTTTGAAAAAGTTATACAAAACATCACGCATGGCTACGGCAAGATCAACCCGATCCTCATGAATTTTTTTACGGTGTGCAACCGGAAGACCACCACTTCGAAGACCAATGATAGCTTCAATGTTATTGACACAGCTTTTCAATGTGCCTCGAAAGTCACACTTCTGACCTATGCGTGCCCGGAGGATTATTGAGCGTCCTTCATTTCTGCGACGGGCAGAAGCCCAGCATGCAATTTCCCCACTATATAATAGAGAGAAAAAAAAAAATGAAGTACTATTTAAAGATTTAACCATCGAATCTTGCTTATACCTACACGTCCATTTTGAGGTCACGTTTGTCTAAAAATCTTTTTGCTAACATGTTCGGAAATGAATTGTCAAAGTCAGCTTCTGAAATGGGAACTTCAAGATTCTTCAAATTTTCGGCACTGTGATAGATTGGAAAATTTAGATAATAATTATGTGATGCGTTGTGATCTATATTGCTCAACTCACTAGGTAACGACGGCACGTCTTAATCCGGCAAAGATATCTTTTTCCTCATCAGTGAGTTTGACATTTTTATTTGTTTCTATCACCTCTGGAGTCAAACCATCAATCACATTGATGATATGTTCATCGTTCTTTTTGGTTACCTGAAAATAGTGTCAGTGACATTTTAAAAATATTATAACAAGAAAAAATTCTTTTACCAACTTTTTCCACCTCATCAAAAAAATATTCAACCACATCCGGTATATCAGATTCATCTAACTTCACGTCTTTTTTGAAGCTTTCGTTTATTTCTTCCAGTCATCCGTTGAAAAAAAAGAATTTATTTGGTATCTTCTGTTAAATCGAGAACGTTCCAGTACGCGAGACTATAAAGAAATTCTAAGATTAAATATAGTCATCACTAACTTTTATGACCTCCGCCAATTCAAAAAACTTACTTCAAACATTTATGAGCCTCAGGAATCGTCTTAACATATTTCGCTAATTCGTCTCCAACGTTGGTACCACTTTTGAGAACCCACAATCGACGAGTAGTTAGCTGATTTTCTTCTCTACGTTCTGTGAAGTTATCATCACTGTCGTCATCGCCGATACCATCGTTATAAACCTTGTCGTCATTGCCCTTGCTTATAAAAAATTCTTCGATTTCGTTTATATCCTCCTCTTCCTGATCTTCTTGATCTTCTTCGTTTATATCTAAGTTGATATTTTTTGCCAATGATTCGTCCTGTAATAAAAATTTTCATAAATCGTTTAATATTTATGGCAAGCCCTTTATTCATTTCTGAAGAGTAATAACCTTACCTTGTTTAGTGACAACGTGTTTATCTCTTTGTGAAGATTAAGATTGGTACTACGTACATTACGACGAACAAGAATCTATGTAATGCTGAATTTCATCAACGTTAGGTTAAACTATCTAAAAAGTCGGCAAACGGACATACCGCTGTTTTTTCTTGCATCCATGTTTCCCAATCACGCAGAATCTTTTCATCCTATCAAAAAAGAAATCAGATTTAGAAGTATTTTATAGTATGGCAAAAACTTTTAATTACATACATCCACCGTTTCTTTCATTATTTCGAGCTTATCTCTTATTTCCTGATTGTTAGCCGTAGCCATATTCAACGCCAGATCAAGTGTTTTCCGATAATTATCAGACGCTTTAGCTTTATGTGCTGGAAATGTATATCGAAAAAATGTGATCGGGGTTGGATCAGGACAAGCTAGCATCCAATTAATATTGCATTCTCTCCGAGTTAACTTGCACGATGATGATTTCATTCTTGAGTACAAAAATAGAAAGTTGAGTATCTTATCAAACAAAATACATGAAAAAAATCAATAAATTGGGCCGTTCTTCACATAGGGTCGGCCATCGCTGGATGATGACTCGCAATTGCTTGCTTCCGACAGTTTCTCTCTGTCGCAGGCGCCCTTTTGTGTCAAAACAAACCCTCATAAAATCTGCGCAATGAAGTCAGCCGGCCATCGCTGGATGATGACTCGCCATTGCTGGCTTCCGACAGTTTCTCTCTGTCGCAGGCGCTTCCTTCTTGCTTAACAGATGCTATGCTCTCTATCACAAGCACTAAATAAGAGAAAACTGAGCCCACCTGACTGATATGTTGTTCGAAAGACTGATAAAAATTTTTTACAGAGACGAGAGCATAAAATGTCACGATCAGAACTGCCGATCACTTTTGCCAAGAAAAATTACACACACATTATACAAAAAAAATATCAGAAAAAAATATACAATGAAATATAAGGTACATACAGTAGATACCCGTTACAGGATATGATAATAAAAATACAGTTACAAAAATAACTATCTATTGTTTTATTTTTTCTTGTACACGACGCCTTTTACTGCCGGGTTCGTTACTTGCTGTTATCCTATCTTTTAACAACCCCACAATGATTCCAATTATTCGTTGTACACTGTTTCGAAGAATATCGATATTTTCTTTAGATTTAGAGCCTGCGAGACGAGGGTCACCGGCTCAGTATAGACCGAAGATACTGGGTTCTACCCATAAAAAATGGTTAGTGTAGGAGTGTATACTTCGGTACAATGTACTGTATATAGACTATATAGCAGAAATTCATCATGAAATGTATCGATTTTCCAATGTAAATGGGTAATTCTTTTTGAAGGCGGACAGGGAGTTTTCGGACTCCAGAATCACTATCCTGAAAATTTCAAACTGGGTGGACAAAATTCTGCGTCCAAAATGATCGGCGTATAGTATAGCGGATGCGGGTTGTGAACTTTAAGTTGGGTAACCATTTGCTTTAATAACAGCAGCAACTCTACAAGGCATACTATCAACCAAATTAACTAAAATATCAGGTTCAATTAAATTCCATTCCTCCTTTAAAGCAATCATCAATTCAGTTTTGTTTTTAGGATGATTTGGTCATGCACAAACTCTTCTTTCTAAAACATTCCATAAATGCTCAATCAGATTAAGATCTGGACTTTGAACAGGCCATAAAATAATTGAATTAAATTATTTTCTTTTTTATTCTTTCACCTGTTTTGTTCTATATACAAGAGCATTATCATCTTGAAAAAAATATAAAGAATTATCAATAAAAGGTTTAAGATAATTTTCAAGAACTTTTAAATATCTTTGACCATTAATTAAATCAAAAATTTCAATTAAAGGTTCAAGTGCATTTTATGTAAAACAATCCCATACCATTATACCTTTTTTACCTAATTTTACAATAGGTAAAAGGCATTCTAGATTATACTTTTTATGTAATTTTTACCAAACCCATTTATGTGAATCATTCTTAAATATTAAATATCAAGATTTATCATTCTAAACAACTAATTGCCACTCAACAATTCAATCTTTTTTTTTCGTTATACTATTTTAATCTTTTTTACCTATTTTATTCTGAAATAAAGGGTTTTTTTACTTCAGTTTAACCATGATAACCTTGTTTATAGAGTATATGACAGATAGTCTTATCATTAACTAAAATAGTCATAACAGTATTGAATTTTTTAGTAATTTATTTAATGGCTTGTTGACAATTATCCTTAATAATTTTAATTACATACTTAATTGCACAAGCACTCATTATTTTTAATTTACCTGACTGTAAAGTAACCTTGACTTTTTTAAACTTCTTATACCAATTAATTATACTTGTAACTATTGTTCTTAATTGATTTAAAGTCTTTGCAATTTTTTTATGTGAAAAACTATCTTTAAAAAGATCAATTATTTTACTACATTCAAAATCTGTTAACTAAAAACCTTTCTTTGATTTTTGAATAGTTAATATTATAATAAGAAAATTTTTTTAACTATATTTGAAAGCTATAGTTTTCAGCTTTCTAAAAGTATAAATTATATATTTACAACCAAATATATTGCACAATTGAATTTTAACTTTGAACAAAAATTTGTAAAATATCATTATTAATTATTTTAAATATAGATTTTTTTTATCCAATGTACTTATACCTATATTACAGGATAATTGTTACATAATGAAATTTGCATAAAATTTACAAAACTGTAAAAATTGACATTAATATATATATATATATTTTTAAATACTAGTTTATTCTTGCATTGAGATGAGTGAGATTTATTTTAATAAGCAAAAGACCTAGGGACAGCTGGGATAAATAATTATCTGTACTGTTTAAGAATTTACAGATCAATAAATAGTACAAAAAGTTACCTATTTACATCTCACCCAATCAAGATAAAATAGTTACATAACCATCTAGTGTAGATATCTACTTATAAAAACAAACCACGAAAAAACAGGAAATATAAAAGTCATACTATATTAATTTTCTATTCTACACCTTGACACTCCCTAGAGCACAACTATTGGACAGTCTACCGAGCAACTTATTGCTACTTCAAAAAAAAGAAACTAATGTGTCAAGGATTCACCTGGAATACCCAGCACCACTGATGTTGAGGATTACCCATGTAAAGCCTTAACTCTACTAGTCCTTAACTAAAAATTTTAAAAAGAAAAAAGGGTTGTGTTCGAGTCAAGTCTTGTTTGGAAAAACATAATATTATTTAGTTGATTATTATAAGTGATTTCAATGAGTGGATGGAAGTATTAAAACCCTTCAAAAAGATACTAGCTCTGAGCGTGATAGTTATATTTGTTAGAGAAGGAATAAGAGAGTTAGATCGTTATCTATCCAAGGTAGCCTAATTTAACCTTATTCTTTCTATGTAGCTAATGACATTATGGTTTCATGTTCTGTATCCATCCATGCAACTAGTATACAACTTATAGTATAATGGATTCCAGATTCTTATAGATACTGAGGAAATGCATTCAGACATGTGAAATGATTAATGGAAACTTGTTTGCATTCTTTTTACTGACATATTTTCTACTAGCTAATCACTGCATGTGAGACTTTGTGCTACACAAAATTCAGGATCAAACTGAGATAGGCAAAATCCCCCAGAAAAATTGAGAAAGAGCACTCTTAGAATCAAAGCATGATAAGAGAATAGGAGTTGCATTCAAGATAAGTCTCCTATTATTCAAAAAGCTCTGTATTGTCTCTCTAATAGGTAAGTGGATGCAATACTACAATTCTTCTTTCTTTTAGAACTTTCTTGCCATTAATAGGAAAGATATTTCATGGCTTTGGTCACTGAAAGTCATGTTTTTATTTGAAGAAAATTGTTTACAAGAGGGAGGGGGATGAGTATAACTCCTGAAGTTGTTACTTCAGGTAAATTTAAGAAGATTGGTAAGACTTTATTAGTCAAGAAGTAGAAAAACTTCTTGCAAATATATTTTTTGGGTGTGGTCAGAGGATCAACAGAAAGAGTCATTACATTAATATTTTATAGAATCAATTTTATTTCAATATAGTATATATAAAATTATATATATATAAATAATAAATATTTTTTAATATAATTTTTAAATCTTGTGTAATTTTATTTTAAAATTAATTAATTTTTCAATAAATAAAAATAGATCTATATTAGATGATTTTTTTTTAAAAAAAAATAAAAATATACATAGTTTATTATAAAATAGAACTCTCATGGGAGGAAATAGTCAGCTTCAAAGCCATATATGGCTATCCTTATATATTAAGTCCTATTTTATATTATTAACAAATTATATTTCTATCAGAATAAAAAAATTGTGTATTTTTTCTATTCTAATAAGTAATCATTCTCTATGTTTGTTATCTATTATTATTGAAATAATATTTGTTAATTATCTGGATAGTGTATATTTTGTTTTTTTTATATCTTTTATTATTTTTATCTTAAAGTGAATTTTTATATACTTTTCATAATTAAATGTACTAAAGGTTGAAGCATATAATTTACCATTAAATTTTGTAAATAATAAATATAAAAAACAGTTATCTATAGTTAATTTGTGAATATTATTTCAAGATAGGATTCATGAATAAGTATCAAATAAAATATTATTAAAAGAGAATTAAAATTTTTTTTTAAAAAATCAATTAATTCTTCAAGGATATAAATATTTTAACTAGATTCATCTTCAGAAAACTATCTTGACAGTATATCAAAGTGTTCATTAATAATACTTTTTTTATGATATTTAGCAAAAAAAATTAAGAAAAAATATTTTGTTATAAAGGGTTGATAAATAATTGAAAATAAAATATATTACTTCAGCTGATTTAAAATGAGGACCAGAATCTGACCAAAAGCAAAATTATTAAAATTGTAATATAAAAGATTTAGAAAGAAATTGCTTGATATAATTAATTATAAATAAGAAATCATAGAATAAAATTTTGAAAAAAAAATAAAAATATTGTATTTGAATTATATCATTATTATTTTTATAAAAAATGACAAATTCCAAAAGTAAAATTTGTGTTTTTTTATAAAAATTTCTACCAGTTTAAAAGGGGCCACCATCAATTTTAAAATTTTTCTTAAAATTTATAACTATTATATAAGAAGTTGTTGTTGTAAAGTTAATAGAATTTTGATAAAGTTGATGTTGATTTGATTTAAAGTAAAGATATTGATGATAAAGATTAATTTGATCATATAATTGGATAATAAAATGAGTATTAAAGAAATTGATTTATAATATTTTTTTTTTCTATT